ATTTACCATTTTACCCCTTGTTTGAGAAGTTTATCATTTCACCCACTTGAAATTTGGGATTTTCGCAAATTAGGTCTTAATGGGCCGAAAAGCCCAAAATTTGGCCCATTAAACTACAATTTACACTTCTAGCCCTTAAAAGAGTATGATATCCATAACAACATTTATTTTTACTGATTTGACTCTTTTAGCCCTTAAGAAAACCGTAAATGGCAATTTTCAACCCAACTTTTTTTTGTTTGACAATTCTAGCCTAAAAATGGGTTTTATGTTGCAATATGTACATTTTAAATCTTAAAGGATAATTTTTCTTGACTTGTTTTAGTGTAATACTTCTTAGATCATGTTTATCTTCCTCTTAGAGCCATAGATCTAGAATTAGTGTTCTTTTTGTTACACTTTTACCACATAAACACATGAAATCACACATATCATACACATACACATAGATCTACACATTTTACTTGTATTTTCCCCCATAAAACACATTAAAACCGAAAATAGAGAGGTATGAACTCACCTTGAGTTTGTGGGTTCAGTTAAGAAGAAGAATGGAAGAAGTTTGATGCTATTCTTGGCCTAGCAAGCTTCTTGGAGGATCCTTGGCTTAGATGTGTTCAAAGATGATGACTCTTATGGAAAATCCTACTTGAAAAGGTCTTAAATCTCGAAGTTTTGATGAAGAAGTGAAGGAGTTGTAGTATGTTCTTGAGAGTGTTTAAGTGAATTAATTTTGTGTGTGTGTGTGTGTATGTATGATACTCTCGGCCGAGAGTAATAGAATAAGAAGAAGGAGAGAGAGAGAGAGAGAGAGAGAGAGAGAGACTACAAGAAATTGGGGTCTTTACCTACACATAAATTACCCACACATGTTATATGTAAATAGATACCTACACATATTTGCTATATGTGTGGGTAATTAAAGATAATAAATTTTCATAACAGATAGCACTTAATATGTGTAGGCAATACCTTATAGTAACATTTTATTTAGGGACAAATTTTCCCTCCAAGATTTTTGATTTACATAATGTGAAATTACCTACATATGTTAACAATTTTATTTATGTGTAGGTAATATACCTACACACGTATACAAATTAAATGGATGTGTAGGTGATTCATTTGGTTTTACCAACACAAAAGTTTACTTCAAAGATGTGTTGGTAACTAAACTAAATAATAATAATAATTGAAATTATATAAATAACGTGGCAAAATAAATGCCCACACATGTTAAGAATTTTCTTTATGTGTAGGTAATTTACCTACACATATATATAAATTAAATAGTTGTGTGGGTGATTCATTTGGTTTTACCAACAAATAAATTTAGTGTTTGTAACTAAATTAATTGATAATAATAATTGAAATTGTATAATGACATGGCAAAGTAATGCCCACACATGTTGTAATCTTTTTATGTGAAGGTAATTTGCTTACACATGTATGTAAATTGAATAGATGTACGGTTGCATCATGAATTTTGTTCGATACTTATTTTATTAGTTTATGAATGTATAGTTAAATATATTAAATAATTTGCATTTGAAAAAAATTGACTTGGCAAGTGAAATACCAATGTATACAAAGATTTAGGATATATCTACTTTTTATCGACAAACGAAATATATGAATAAATTTATTGTCATTTTTAAATTATAAGATTTGTATATGAAAATGATAAATATAACAGAAACATTGAAAAAAACATATTGGAATTAAAATAGATAGTTTTGACGATGGTAAATATAAAAACATTGACAAATATAATAAAGAAGAGATAAAGTTTGATGGTGTTATTAAAAAATTTTAATAATTAAACCATGGTGAACTACGAACTTTAAACACGCGTATGAATTGGGTTTATCTCGTCCTACATACACGATGGCGCCAAAAGCAATTTGGCTCTAATCTCTTCCGAAATCAGCGAAAATCATGGGGTTTATAGAGGAAAACGGTTCCATCGATCTTCCTACCAAAACCCAAAACTAGTTACAGAGTTTTGAGAAATCAAGGCGGAAGAACGAGGGCAAAGTCTGAGGATTAACTCCAGGTAACATACTATCACACAGCCTTCATTTATTGATCTCATCGTCATTCTTCACTGATATTGTTTCTCTGCTCATCATGCCTTTTCTCTAAGCTTATTTGAATAATAATGTATATGGTATGTTGTTTAGTAATTGATTGGCGAATCCAATATTTTGTTGTTTAAAATCTTAAACTCAAATATTTTGTTGTTTAAGGGGTGTTTGGGAGGGCTTTTTATACTTAAAAGTACTTTTTTAGAAAAGTGCTTATTGGCTTATTGCTTTTTTCTAAAAACAGTTTTAAAAATGTGTTTGGATTAGCTTTTAAGGTGGTAAAAACTAAAAAGTCAATAAGTTGTTTTTAAAAAGTGTTTGGCTTAGCTTTTACCTGTAAAATGACCAAAAAGGACATGTCTTCATATTAAACATTTTTTAAACGTTTTTTTACAAAGTATATAATATATATTTTTTAAAGATATTTTTACCATTATAATATTAAAATTACGTAGAATACAAATTCTAAATAATTCATAAAAAAAATATCATATGTTACGACATATTACATTCATCTCCGAAATTCCATTATATCTTGCGCAACAATATCTCGTATCGCTGCCATATACGAGCTATCATTACTCGTGCGATGTGTACTTGGACCTTCTTCGTCACCTTCACTACTAGTGCGATTGTGTGCAGGAATGTAGGATTCTTGTTGTGTCCTATTAAATGTTTCATCAAACCTACCGGTCTTTCTAATATAGTTATGGATTGCCATAGATGCAATCACAATACTCACTTGGTGCTCGTACTTGTAATTAACATGTATGTCTCTTAATAACGCCCACCTAGCTTTCCATACTCCAAAAGTCCGTTCAATGATATTTCGCAATGATGAATGGTAAAAGTTAAATTTCTCTTTCGGTCCACGAGGTTCACGTATAGCAACAGTATGTCCATGTCGAAAATCCGGTAAATGATAACGAATATTAGTTCCTTTGTATGGAGCAAGATACCCTCTGGTATTTGGGTATCCGGCATCAACAACATAATATTTATCTGTAAAAAAACAAACATTTGTTATTCGTTTCAAACAAGTATTAAAAACATAAAACTCGTGTTAATAAAAATTTATACTAACCACCCGTTGGAAATGGAAAATGAAGATCCGGTCTCTGTAACGCTTCATTAAAAATTCTTGTGTCATGTGCAGTCCCTTCCCATCCGGCCACACAAATGTGAAACACATGTTAAAATCACAAACAACCATTATATCTTGTGTAGCATATCCCTTTCGACCAATGTATTTCGCTTCCTCATGTTGTCGAACGGATGCCCTAACGTGTGTCCCATCTATAGCGCCAATGTAATCCTACAAATACAAAAAGATATTATAAATAAATCATTTGGTGAGATAATTAAACACTAGATAATACCTTGAACATTGGATAATATCGAGGATTGTTTAATATATATTCAGGAACTTCATCATTATAGTTGGCGGCTGGCCTGATGATGTCGGCACTCATCTTAAGAACAACTGCCAAAACTGTATGGAAATGCCTATGAATCGTTTCCCCAGAATGATTAAAAAATTCTTTCACAAATCTATTGCTACATCCATGGGACAAAGTCATCAAGAATATTCCTAACGACTCCTCAATAGATATATTCCGTGTTTGTTGAAGTCCGTAATTTGTAGCAAGATCTATGCATAATTGTCTAAAAACCGGTACATGCAGTCTAAACATCTCGTAACACCGTCTAGGATGACCATTTAATACTTCATTAATAAATATGTAACCGGTGCGAGCTGAAGTGTAACATGGCCTACGTATCTTCAAATCAATCTCTCACACAATGGTTATTCTTGTCGATAAAAATATATATAGGGTTAAGTCTTATTTTATGTGGATCCAGTCCTAGAAAAATTGAATATAGATATATAATTAGGAAAATCTTGGAAAGAAAGATGTTTGTAGACAAATTGAAAAACTACATGAACAGTGTGTTTCTTTTTTGTATGATGGTGAGATTTAAGGTAGCTTCCTCTTTTCTTTTGTTCTCTGGTACACCTTTTAACAAAGATCATTAATAACCACTTTTTAACTAGAGAGTTGATATTTGTTTGATTGATTTGGTTGTTAATCCTTGAAGGAGACTGCAGAAAAGAGGGTTATGGCTCGTGGAAAGCGTAAAATGAATAATAGAAATGGTTCGAAAAGTACAATACGTTATCATATCGAACGTGGACTTGATTTGGATTCTTCAACGGGTCAAATTGAGACTTGGAGGCTTACACAGTGGGATGACAAAAAAGGTTGGAGATCTACTGATGCAGCTGTAAAATATGTAAGTTTACTTCCTTAGTTCTTATTTATACTTACTAGAATAGATCAAACATTGTAATTGTAAATTGTTAAGCATTGTGCTTACATCATACCTTGATAATGCATAACATATAAGCATTTTAGGTGTTGTATTTATTTAGCATTGTAGCATTGGACTTACATCTATCCTTAACAATGCATAAACATATTAGGCATTGTAATTACTTATAGATGCTTACTGTAAGGAAATAATTTCATCTATAAAAAATGTTCTATACAAACCGAAAAACTAATCGCAACAGACTTGGACATTACATCATACATGAACATTTTGACATATTAGACATTGTACTTGCATATTAGCATTATAATTTTCACATATCGACCTGGTCATTTTTTCAACAGGGGACTTGGGTATATTTTTAAACATTTTTTCATCATTCATTTCGAAATGTCTATCTTGGATTTTTTTTTTTCTAATTTTAGTTGAACGATTATTGGATTATGACTTGACCTTACCCATTGTATCCCCTTCTAATTGTGAAGTACTTAGTAATTAATTGGGTTTTTGTACTATCCTTATAATTTCTCCTAACAGGAAGAAATGATGAAGCTGAGAAACGAGCATACCGTATAATCAATGAGCGACAAGTCTATTCTAGAGAAGGTACTTGGTCGGAGCTTTGTTCGTTTGTCTGGGTGGGGGCGTGATCCTGTTGTTATTAGTAACACCACGGGTACTAATAGGAATTCAAATCACCCTACTTATGATGAATTAGTGGATGATACTCAAAATTTGAAAAGATGTGCAATTATGGAACAACTGTTGATTGAGAAAAATATCATGCCTCCTCCTTCAAGTACATCACCAAGACTATCTGAAGGTGATACATCTGACTTTGATACATCTACCCACTCTGGACACGGAAAGTCTCATGGTGAATATTAATGGGTTTGATCATATGGAATGAATAATCAACAATGTTTAGTATTTTCATTATTCTCGTAGCTATTATAACTAGTATTTTAGTTAGCTGTTTAAGTATTTCAATTTAGATGTTGAACTTTTTTATTTGTGGTTTGAACTATGTTATAACTTTTTTAATTAAAAATAGTATTTTCCTACATATGTTTCTAATTACACCAATACATATTGTATTTCTTTGTACATAATGGATCATTATTACCTACATATATTGCAGTTAATACCCACACATAACTACATTTTTACCAACACATCCATATTTTTTACAAAAAAAAAAAAAAAAAAAAAAAAAAAAAAAAAAAAAAAAAACAAATACCTACACATCTACAAGATTTACCTACACATAAAATACTTTTACCAACACATCTTTTATAACACGTGTCACGAACACATTTTTGGGGAATGCCATGTAATTTGCCACGTCGACATTCATGTCATCAATGAACGTCCACGTCATTGTCCACATCATTAGACACGTCATCTACCACGTCATCTTCCCAAAAAGTCACAAGAGACCTTTACCAACACATAAGTATTAGTTTTACACACACATACATGTGTATCTATTACTTATTCTATGCCTACACATTACCTATGTGTGGGTAAATATCTATATCTACAGTCATGAGCCAACACATGTTAACACTTAATTTATGTGTAGGTAAAGATAAGTTCCAACACATAAAGGGCTTTTACCATCACATAATATGTGTGAGTAAAAGGCCAAACTTCTTGTAGTGAGAGGTGAAAAGGATTTGCATGGAAACATGTGAAATTGCTTAGATATCCCATTGGTATTTAGGAGGTGGCTAATCCTCCTTAATCCTGTAATTCCTCTTCTTTTTTATTTTAATTACTTGGGCCGATAGATAGAGAAGAGAGGATAGAGTTTGGGCCTTGAGTGCTTAAGTCCAAGATATGGGCCCAATACACATCAAAGTATGAGTTTTATGGCCCTTTAGAGCTAATTAAGTTTGTTATGGCCCATTAGGGTATTTTATTTCATTCTAGGCCCATTATGGCCCAAAATTTCAAAGTAAATGAAAGTGGGTCCAATTAGAGCCCATTAAAGAGTTTTAAGCCCAAAATAGTCAAATTGGAAGCTTATTGGCCCATTAGGCCCAATAAGGAAATCATAGTCCACAATGGACTTAAACTGAGGTTTCTAGGGTTTCCAATTCTTGGTTGACTATTTGAAGTGCTTCCATAGAGGGTTTGATGGAAAATTTGTTGTTATTAAATAAGCATCATACATGTTTTCACATGTTTTGCTCACAATGTTATCATTGTTGTTGTTACATGTCACAGAATTCCTAGTTGTGACAGGGGACAACTTCATGTGATTCACAGCAGGAGAAACAATGACCAAAGAGACCGGCTGGAAAGGAAATTCCGGCGTAAAGAGACCGAAGACCGACATAAAAGAAGACTGCTAAGTTGCAGTAAGGACCAGCGACTAATCATAGATCGACACAAGTGACTGGAGACCGTAGGCTCACTTAAGGAAGAAAGAAAGGACTGAAAAATTCATAGCAAGACCGGTATTAAAATTCGAAAGTGTTGCAATAAATGATAGAAAACGTAGGTGCATCAACTATTCGTGAGCAAGGGAGTATCACACTCCAGTGTCCAAAATTGATGAAAACAAACTACACTTCATGGTCAATTTTGGTTGAAACTGTGTTGAGTGCACACGGCCTTTGGAAGACGGTACTCGGAGAAGATAAGGATGAGAAAAGAAACTATACTACAAAAGCTATAATTTACCCCACTCTCCCGAAAGATGTTCTTTTGCACGTTGCTAAATATAAGGATGCACAAGATGTTTGGGACTCCATTAAGATTCGGTATTTAGGTACCGAAAGGGTACAAAAGGCAAGGTTGCAAACATTAAGGGGTGAATTGGAGAGGCTGAAAATGAAGGATGACAAGACAATCAATGATTTTTCAGGAAAGATAATTGGTATAGTTAAGAAGTTCAAAAGGCTTGGTTCATCTCTTGATGAAGAAGTGACTGTTAGAAAATTCCTTAATTCTGTTCCGAAAAAGTATTTGCCAGTTGTAACTTCTATTGAACAATACTCCGACCTTAAAAGTATGCCATATGAAGAGGCGGTAGGAAGGCTAAAAGCCTAGGAAAATAGGCTCAAAATACATGATGAAAAAAGAAGAAGAGCGAGATCAACTCTATATGGCAAGTGAAGAAAGGTATGGTGAAAGTAGTGGATACAGAAGAGGAAATGGAGGTAATTATGAAAGAGGTGGAAGAGGCCGAGGAAGAGGAAAAGGTTGAGGGGACAAAAGTGGAATTCAATGCTATGATTGTGGAGATTTTGGGCACTTTAGCTATGAATGTACAAAGTGGAAAGACAAAGACAATGAAGTAAACTTGGTCCAAGAGGAAGAGCCAGCTTTGCTATAATGGGTCAAGATCAAGTGAATGTTGGATAATCTTGATGGGTATTGGTTAATATTTAGTATTTGTTTAATTTACCTATTTTGAGTAAATGGTGTTTGACTAGGTCATGGAAGTGTATATGCACGTGAGTGTACTGGGTCTTAAAAAAACCTACTCTCTAGGAATAGTTAGTTTAGCTTTATGGTGTTATCTTTGTTGAACATGCCCAGGCTATTTATAGCCTTATTTGTTTTGGTGAATAAGATGAGTGTGTGCAATTTTTGAGTAAAAAATACCTTACTTCTTTATCTATTTTCTTTTCTTCTTCTCGTGTACAACAACAGATAGCATATGTTTTCTTTTATCTCATTCGTTCATAGGTTGAAGGAAGGGGGCTGAATGTGACAACTTCAAATTTCACATTCTCTTATTTCCTGCCCTTGACTTCATCATTTATAATAACTCCCGGCAAGAGATAGGGACCTTATGCACAATCAATGACCACTTAACGAACCACTTCCACAACCTCTAAGCCACCACACACTCAAAGAAAACATTGTCAAGACTCTCCTCTTCCATGCGAAAACTGAAATGTACATTTATCTCCGGCTTCAACATAAAAGATTGGAATCTTATTTGTGATTATTCTCCAAATAAAACAATTAATCTTATTTTCAACATAAAAGATTGAAATCTTATTTATTAATCTTCCAAAGAATTCACTTCACCCGGTTAAAACAAATGTCACCATGTTTATCAATCAACTACCTTATTGCTTTGACCGAGAAATCCATATTTTACATCAACTTGATATAAGAAATAAGAAAGAATAAATTTAGAGTGTAAATGACTTTGTCTCCCACGTGCAATTAAAAAACCAATTACTATTTTATTGCAACTAGATGACATGTTTTTACTTCAAATAGGTATTTATTGGATTAAAAAAAGGGTAATGCAAACAAATGGGTTTCATCATTAACTTATTTATGAAACTTCTAATAAGCAACTTGGAACCTGAAGACTTGGACCAAAACAAAAATTTGAGCTGACGAGGATTAGCTGCCCCAATAGCAAGTTCACATGATTGACATTCAAAAAAGCCAGCGTAACTAAACTAGCCATGATTTCCTGTCCACCTAATCCATTCAATTAAACACGTGTTGACCTCCTTCCATTCTTGCTTATAAAACCAAACGACGTTCCCTTCTTCACGTACACTTGCAGAAACACACACACTAAAGAATGGGGTTTCTTCTCATCCTTTTCCTCTTGACTTCCTCTTCCACCCTCATCGCTTTCTCTCAGACGATTGTGAAAACCTTACCTGGATACCCTGGTCCACTCCCTTTCAAACTAGAAACTGGGTATGCTTCTCTCTCTCTCTCTCTCTCTCTCTCTCTCTCTCATATAAACACACAGAGAAAGAAACATAAAAAGTCTCCGGGAAGCTTTCCGATAATGGTTATGTATGTTTGCGTTCATTCAGGTACATTGGAGTCGGAGAAGATGAAGCTGTGCAGCTTTTTTACTACTTTGTGGAGTCGGAAGGGAACCCGGAGGAGGATCCTCTGATTATCTGGCTTGCAGGAGGACCTGGTTGCGGCACCCTTCGTGCTTTCTTTTATGAAATCGGTAACACTTCTTTTAATTATACTCCCAATTACCATATACGCATATCCACATAATTATAAAACTTCAAACATATGAAAAGAAAATTATTAATACTAATTACGTACACCCTTGCTATGTTCTTTGTTCTTGTTTTTTGTTTTCTATGTTATTTGATGTATCTTTTAGTGGGCAATATCGTTCTTGCGTTAATCTAGGTGGATACTTAGTTGTGATTTGACTTTGTCTAACATGGCTACCTACTACATGAATAAAAAACATACCAACTTGCCCCTTGGCACGTTTTCAGATGTAAGCAAAAGATTATATAACAAATAAAAGTTATCCTGGAAGAAGTTACGATTAATATTTTCTGGAAAAAATGCTGGTTTTTATTGTAAAAAATGGATGTTGTTAATGCATTTACATCAATCATCTTCCAATATATATATATTTTTTTCCAAAAACACAATGACCAAAATCAAAATTAATTTCTAAAAATATACATATACTGTAAACATATCACCATTCGTGTTAAAAAATTCTCAGACAAATCACAACCAAAAATAGATGAAAAAAAAAAAAACAAAGTATTTCCCAGAAATGTTTTATGAAATTGAATTGATAATACATGTAAAATTTACAAGACGTAACTAATGTAATTTTTCTTTTCACAGCAACTAATGTAGTTTATATAATTTTTTATTTTTATGTTTATTATTATTCTATCTGCCATGTGCACATACTTTACTTTATCTATTTTGTTTCTCATATTATTTTACTCATGGTCCCGCCCGCTATCACGTTGACATGTTTGATTTCGATGTTATAATTATTATTGAAATTAAATGTACACGTACAAGTACAAAAAATTAATATTAAATTCATAGACATACAACTATATACAATTAAGTTTTTGTCTTGAATAATATTTTTATTAATCATGAAAATGATTATA